ACATGTTAACATTAAACATCATAGAACCTTTAGAATCAAAAACGACTACACGTATTTTTATACACTGTGTGCTTGATGTTTTGATGTTTATGGTCGAAAGAGGATCGCCATTTATGGTTAATCTAAGTAAATGTCAGGGCGTTTACCTATTTTCTAGTCAGTCATATATTTATGTTGGAATAAGCATTAACACCTGTAATTTGATTATTCACAGGTATATTTACGACGTTATGAGACACAAGTTTTCACGTACTATGGGACTGTGCCACTGTTTCTGTCTAACGAACAGGACACCACTTTACAGAATATTCAGAGATTATCTACAGTTGATACACGAACAGCGAATATAAAATGAGAACCATCGGTAAACTTGAAAAGTGTTTTGCGACTGAAATTGAACTGGGGGTCGCCGTCGATTAATAACGGATTTCCAACAGCTTGATAAGAATTCCGTTTCGCTAATTTTATTTAATTGCAAGTAAGAAAACCTTTCAGCGTCATGAAGTCAGTCATAATCTTTTATCAATGAATTTGATCTGCTGATGCAATATTCCCTTTTTGGTCCCTTCAAATGACGTACATTTAACATCCACAACTTCGGCGTAGCTGGGGAATATAGGATTGCTGACAACTCCGGTGCAAAAATATAATAGAACATTGAAACTGTTAAAAGCTCGATATTATAGACTGCTACTTAACTTCTTTTGTCAGTGAAGTTATTCTTTCTACTGCTTGAGCGATGTTTGTTTGGAGTTGATTGTTAATATTGTTTTGCAATAAATAGTTTTAAAATTGTTCACTTTATTTATTCTCTGTTTTGTGGCAACTGCAGCTTATCATCTAAGTCGTCTGAACTTCTGATAATTGCTCAAAAAATTCAGTCATTCGATAGTAGTCGATAAAGGCGCTTTTTATGGGTTATGAACTCTACAGAGATCGCGCGAGGTTACAAATAGGGTTACTGAGCGTAACCGAATTCGTACAAGGTCACAATCAACGGAAGGAAGAATGTCTTTAGTACATTTAAACAAACAAGTACAGTAAAACAGTCACTGGTACAATTGGTTATAATAGTAATTGTTCCAATCATACCAATCGGCGTTCTGTTGATCAAAGTAGGTCACTACACATCGATAAACTTCTGTCCGTGATATGATGGGAAAAAAAGTCAATATTCGATTGATTTACTTAATATGAGTTTTATTCATCATTACATCCGTTTTGATTCAATGTAATGATTACGCAATGTAGTATTTGTTTCTTTTCTCGTATGATATTTCATTCTGTATAATATAAAATACTCTTGTATTCCATTGACTATGAACTATACTCAGCATATGATTTGCTATAACTGTGAGTATTTTTCATGTATATGATTCATTCTAATTATTAATAAAAATGGGTGTACAATCAATATATAAACGAGTGTATTTTCTAGCAGAATCGCTCGTTTTCTGGTTGTTGCAGAATATACTTCCCATTCTAAGCTTGGACTTCTCCATCTAGATAGCGGGTTTGGGGCGCATCAATAGCTAACTTAATGGTCTTCGGTCACCGAATCTTGTTCTCGTTTGCAGATTAAGTGAACTCGTGATAGCTTCAAACCTAGCAGTCCGAAATAAGGTTTTGCGACCTAATAAATATCAATGTAATCACCCATGCTTCATACAGATGAATACTTAACATCTTTCTAAACTACACAGAACCGGTTAAAATATTGTTAATGTAATGCAAAGCTTGGTGAAACAGTTGTGTTTTGGATGATTTGTGATGAAATTCTTAATGGTTTCTTTACAACACTTACACATATATTAGTTGTTTGTAAATGCTAATATAAAAATGAAAGTAATGACACGAGACAAATGAAGGGACTGAAAACGGTAAATTCGGATTTTGGGTGAAACAAGGGGATATTGCCAGATGAGATGCAAACAGAAACGGTTTATATATATCATGGATATTGAATCAGGGGTTAGAAGCAATTGTAATATACCATGGCAAAAAAGTATATTATATGTAGAACTGATGGTGACCAACTTTTAAATTTTTCCTTTTTTACAATCAGGTGATACCGAAGAATTCGTTATTGGTTACCTTGTTAGTTCACGTTAATCCTTGTATTAAGTGCTCCAATAAATAGTTATAGATTACTGCGGCAGTTGATAGTTAAATCTGAATAACCTATTTTTATTTTCGTAATGGAGTATCCAAAATATTCAATATCTTAATAAGAGGCTGTGTTTATACATCGTCATGGTTTAGATATCTGTGTAACTTAGAATTCACGGGCCGACATCTTGAAGAGAATTTACTTCTATAACTAAACCGTGCAAATAATATTCACTGACAACATTCTGTCCAATGATGCCTTGTTTGGGTGTAAAACGTATTAAGGGGCTGTTATTTGCTTCTTAATACTTTCTCATACGAACTAAAAAGAATGGATTTCACAACATACTTTTTAGGTTATGTCGCACAAAAATATAGATTTGAAGCGATCACGGATATGCAGAATTTGAAAACATAACTGTACCAAACTTCTTACTTGATAATCCTAAGACTTGAATTCACATCAGCAAATATGTGTTGGCTTTAACTGGAGTGTATTTTGAAATCTGTAATTAAAGAATCTGCTTCATGCCTACATAGAAGTGTGGCATAGGGGCTTTTCTGTTATGACGTTCATATTAGCTTATCGTAGATTATTAGTAGATGACTCATTCAGATACCACTGGTCATTCTATACACCTGACTCAATTATTTATTTGTTTGTAATCTTCAGAGTTCTTATACGTAGGTATTTGATAGTGTCTGTCTACGTGTATTTTTATAAAGCTTAAAAAATTGGTCAGCTCAATATTCCTTGAGTAGTTATACAATCTATTCCTAACCCTTTACATATACTCCACCACTTAACATCCGTATGTATCAAATTTACGTATCTAAAGTACTCGTATCGATATCATCAGTCCATAGAAAATATCAGGAGTGAAATAAGCCCAAAATTTTGTTAGCATCGTCCGGTCATCATTGTGAAAATAGGGTCAATACAAAGCCACACGTTTTGTTTGTTGAATAAAATATTTTTTTGTCTATGATGGTTTCGAAAACATTGGAAAAGCATAATATTCTTCCAATATTGATTGAATTGATATCAGCTAATGATGGGTTTAACATGCACTCATTCACAATTAGATTTTGGATTAAAATGTGGAAGTTCTCACTGACAACCATTTGATATAATAGGGGATATAGAAGTTTTATACGTCACATTTCAAGATAGTGTTTATGTCTATGTTTATCCTTGTTTTATGACCTTCATGAAAGTGAGTATACCGTTTTAATAAACACTGTAATTTATCTCAACAGCACTTGATAGCTTTCTAAGGAACTTTCAGGAATGGGTGACAAGTTTTTGCTAAAGATTTAGCGATGTAAGTAATCATTAAGAGGCTTCATTTAAACATTAAGAAGCAATTTTTTTCATGTTGAGTACTTCACTTTATAAAGCAAATTTATTAGAAGTACTTCAATGACAGCTGATTTGTTAATTAAAATACATCATACTAGACATAGATTTAAGCTTAGATTAAATAGACGTAAAAGCAAATAAAATATCAAATCAACCTCCTAATTATGAAGTAAAATAAGAACATACGAATGAGTAGACTGTCTAGTGAATGTTGATCACTAGCGTAATTAACAAACTTATGTCCCATACCTTCATCTTGGAGCTTCTCAAATTATTTCATGGGTGCATGTTAGTAGTGAATACTTCCGAAAATTTATATCATACAAGTTTAAGTAAATACAAATCTTAGGAATGTTGTTCTGCTTTTTATATTAAATAATTTTACTTTCGTATGTGCGTAAAATTATTTATCATCATTTATTTGATATAACAAGTTTTCACCAACAAATGTGTTGATCAATTTTCAGCGGGATGACAAAATAAATGAACCAAATCAATAAAGTAAATCTCAATCCCCTGGTTTACCAAGTTTATTCAAAAACGATGTTATATTAGCAAAATAGACTGTTTTTAGTGAAATCACACATGTCATCATAAGATGAAAAACGATGAGACAAATTTAGTCGACCTCACAAAAAATATATCGCAGAAGAATGTTTAGGGAAAGCAATCAATTGAATTGGAATGAACAAAGAAAAATTCGGCAAGACTCTAATTTAAGGACGAGCCAATCAGAAGCGATTGAGCCGTTTCAAGGTCACGGAGCCAAGTTTAACACCTGATGCTCACATATGATCGGTTTACAGCGGATTTTAGAGAAGGGGTTATTATTGAGAGGCTGCAAGGGATAGGATTACTAAAAAGTTCTTGTACGTGAGACTGCGGTTATCAAATGACCGCAGTAAAGTGTGCAAATCACCGTGGTGAGATTATATTTCGTTGTCCTTCATGTTGGAGGAGAAAGTCTGCTAGAACGGACTTTCTTTGCTCGATTGCTACTAAAACTGAATCAGATTATGATAATAGTTGCAAATTGGGTAATAAATACACCAGTAACACTGGCTGCTGCGTTTGCAGTTGTTTATGAAACTTCAGCAGTCCAGTGGTATGAGTACTGTTGTGCAACTAAAATAACACTTGTACACCAATCATTCGGAGGAGTAGGATGTATCATGCAGACAGATGAAACGGCAGTGAGAAAGCGAAAATACAACACGGGACGTAGTATAAAGTAGGATTGTGTAAGTAGCATTTCCGTAAATATACTCGACAGGTACTTGGAATTTATGACTTTTTATACCGTATGCAATATGATTTCAAAACATTTGAAACTTTAGCAAACATTGATAAGTTTTTAAATCATGTAAAAGAAGTATATTCACTGTAATCCATTTGTTTCTTCTAATATATTTCTACGTTATACCAGCTGTCTTCTGACTGGCTATTATTCTCAAGGTCACTTAAAATTCGTACAAAGGTTGTCCTTAAATTAGAGTCTCGCCAAAAATTCTTTGAACAAAACACAAAGTAATTTATGCCATAAAATATCTTGAAATAATCAGCAAAGAAACTCATAATTTATTCGAAGCATTCATCAATAGTCTCACATTACTTGATAGAAAATACTTTTTAATTATTCGATGACTAAAATGAACGCAGTCGGTTAGGTGAAAGGCCAGTCCAAATTCTTTAGGTTTATGTTTCCCGCAAAAAATGATTGACTTCCATAAGTTGTTCAGAAAATAGCATTAAACTTGGTGGAAATATACGACACTATAATGAAACAGAATATTAAGATGAAAATTCAATATGTTCATTTATTAATTTTGTTTTAAATCACTGTTCACAAGACTTTTTCCAACGATTTAAACAATAAATTTTGTATACGCTCATTATTATGAAATATTTTTGTTTTACATTTAACAATAGCCTTCTCTTTTTCTTTGGCATATTGTTCCAATTCTTCTAGTTGAGCTTTCAAGGGTTCTATACATGTTTGATTTAAACTGAAAGCATAAAGTAATCATGTAGTATAATATTGTCAAGTAGAAAAAATTAAATAACTCGTAAAATAGTATTTTTATTCAGGAATAATGATGAGTCATATATTGTGTTATTTAATGAGTCAAATAATTGTTTATTTAACATCTTATTAACATTTTATTAATTATTCAGTAGTATAACATGTTATTTTATGAAAATGAGGGCACGAAATCTGAATAGTTTCATTGGTAAAAATGAAATATATTCTGTACGGCAATCAAAGTACCCCAGACACTTTTAAGGCACAAACTTTTAACAAAAATGCACTCATTTATCTATTTCAGTTAATCCCAACGACAAGTGGTTGAATGCTTTATGAAGACTGAAAGTATTCTATTGATCTGTAATGCAGTTTAAAATGATAAATCCAGAAATGAATACGAACAGTTAGCATGCCTCAGGTCTTAGCATTTGTCGGACACAAAATAGCTGTCCGTAGGACTTACGGGCTCTACCCATGCCCACAAGACAATAACCGGGCTTTGAGTCTCTTGATCCCCTGGATTTGAACATTGAGGGTTATGACCTCGTCCATTTCATTAGGCTAACCATTAGTTAGATTCAAGAGCTCCAGTTGCTTTTGCAAATACAAATGTAGAGATAATACGGCTGACATTAAATTAGAAGCATTGTGGAAGTATAATGAAAGAAAATGTGATTGGAAAAACAAAATAAATTGAAGTGCTGTCAAAGGTATGGGAACAATCAATATCTCTTATTTACCCACATTGTGGAAGAGCACTATTTCAGATAACAGTGACTAATATCATGTGTCCAGATATTAATCCGAAACCTACTTCTGATTTGATCTGTTATTTGGTTTATGGTCTAATGTCTCTGATTTGCCTAATTACATACCCGACCAGCATGAGTGACCTTGACTCGACAGTTAAGTTCCTGCTGATCCACTGTTAGCTAGTACCCCTATATGCCTAACCTTAGATCCAGACGTAGCAATCAGCCTCTACCAAGTCTTCATTTCAAACAGACAGGGTTTATATACAGAAATACAGGATCTCATTATGCCATAAAATAAAAAATAACAATCATACATAAACAGTACAAAAATGTCTGTGAAAAAGGGAGACTGTAAATAGGTATAGTAACTCATGTGACATTTGTTTTTGAATTCAACAGAAATTTCAGATAAAAAAATACATAGGCAGCAATTTAGTTTCTTAATGATTATCCAATACGAATACACATAATAATAATACATTAGTTCCGGGAGGTGTCAATCCTTCAATCCTCATTCTATTATAGCAATTGCTAATTAAAATCAATCACTGGTCACAGAAATTCGTTAGGTATTATTATTAATGCTGACCATAGGGCCTACCTTTATGACCACGCCATCCTTCTTACACAAGACAGTGTCGTTGAAAATTCTCTTTCTACGTAATCTACATGAATTCTGCTAAGCCCTTGTACACTCAACACTATGATTTTGTACCTGACCCTTTTCATTTTGAGCTTTTTTTTGCTCACATTTCAATGTAGTAGAAACGTCCAAGAAACATAACCAAATTTTATCTTCTCGTTAGGTGAGAATAACAAACATAAATTAGCCATCTAATCTCGGAATACATAACGATTTATCGCTTATTGCTATTTACCTAATGTACTATAATAAATATAACTTACATTATGTCTCTTCCTTCAGATAAGATATATCTGTATTAGGCTATTTGAAGTCTTAGTAATATATACAGTTGCATTTATGAAAATATAATTCTAAACTAGTTCATTATTGGAATTATGTATAAAACGGTTGTTCAGTTTTTAAAAGCAAAGAAACTAAACATTATCTGCTAATATCCATTCCAAACATTAAAAATTCAAAGGTATAAGAATTGTATTTTAACCGATTCACTGAATATATACACGATGTTTTACACACTTTACTCAGCCTATTGGGAATAATTAAGTTCTGTGCTAGTTTTATGCTTACAACTTTAATATCGATGATTTATTATAGGTAATACCTCAAGTTTAAAATGAAATTTCTGTTTCAGAAATAGTATTCTAAGCAGTTTTATGTTGATTAAATGTTATAGTAAATATTTAGTCAAATTCTGTTATTATGTAATATCTGATAAATTAAATGTTTTAAAAACTAATAATTTCATTTGAGAGTTTACATTTTAGTTATTAAGCATTAAATTGAATCATTATGTCATCAAAACAAAGGTTATACTTAACCAAGTATTTACATAAGTACTAAGAATATATAATGGAAAACATTTGTAGCTTGAATGAGTACTTCGGCATTTTTGGGCACTATGAATTACGTGGCTAATTTGAGGAGCTTTCATTATCTTTCTGGATAAGATTATTGACGTTTAATTCTACTGTTTACGCTAAATGGTCATAGTTGAAAGCAGCATATCGATAAAACTAACACTTACTTTTCCTGTTGTTTTAATTGAGATTTAAGTATATGATTTTCAGTTTTCCAACGTTCAAATTCTTGTTGCATTGTTTCTAAATCTTCTTGAACAAAATCCATTAGTTTACTCAATGGAATAGCTGAACGGGATAATGTTTGCAGTGAATCACATAAACGATTAATTTCTTTTTTTAATAAAGCTTTCTCACGTTCTTTAGCTGCTTCATTCAATCTGCTAGACTTTTATTAGATAAAATGTGCATAAAGTAGATCATTTGGTTTTATTGTGAGAAGAAAAGTTATCTTGTATTTGGTGTTTATAACAAAACATGTGTAAACCATAAAATACCATAACACTAAAAATCAAGTTATTTTATGGAAATTCATAATTTCTGGAAGAAATTCACATAAATATTTAACTGATCAAACTTTGTGAATTTCATCACTTCAGTCAGTCAGTCAGTCGCTACAACGTAGGACCAGGCACATCTATGCATCGGTCCAAGTTGCCATACCGCATTAGCGCAGCAAGATGAACGCCGGATTCATAAAAGCAGTTAATTCAATGGTGGTAATATATAAGAGAAAGATTGCTTATAAAGATATAGTACAGAAAAAAAGAATTAGTACGTATAAAGTTATGAAGTGATTTCAATCTCATCACTTAGTTTAGATTACTGTGTTAAAAGGTTAAGTTAAATCCTGGTACATAATAACAAAGACAGCGTAATAAGATGCATTAAAATTATATTCTCTAATTTCTTTTTCTTTATCTAACTTATATAGATGTGAAGAAATGCATCAAATAAGTAGTTTATCCATATTTCATAAGGAATTTTATGTTTCTTTGAAGAATAGTTTTTATGAATATAAATACAATTTGGGTATATCTGACAATATTTTAAAACTACTTTAGGTTATTAAAATCAATAGAAATATCAAAAATTTACGAAAACACTGCTGCCACTTGTGTTAAATCAAAGCAGTTTAGAAAATAAGACTATAAAACAATCTTTCAGAGATGTAATTAACCAAGTGAATTTATATGCAAAATTGAAGTGAATAAAACATAAAGTAGTTATATCAGTTAGATGAACATCTGGGCCACCTGTTCCTGCCATCTAAATATTTCAAAAAGTTATCTAATTTTGTTTGTTTTAATACATTTTTATGGTTATTAACCGCATAACCTATTTAGGTGCGTTTCTAAAAAGTGTACAACCTTTCGTTGTACAAGTGGCAAAATCAGAGATATCGTGGTTTCTGGCAGTATGCAAAAAAGAATTTACATTATTTAGATGTCGATTTACTGCACTTCCAACTGACGACCACTTAGTATTTATCGTCACAATCGACCAAGAAGTAATAAACGGAAACTTTTTGAAATACTTCGTGATGTGACTTCTCTTTTGTACCAAAAAATAATCATAAGTAAAGCTAATGATGATAACTTGACATGATAATTTATGAACGATCTTTGAGCGACGCTAGACTGATCTTGAGAGTGTCCGTTTAATAACCAGGACCAAATGAGGGTTATGAACCTGTGCATGGAATTATAATTATAATTTACAGTTGACGATTAAGCTTAAGAATTAAATTTCGAGTTTTCATCAAGAACTGACATCAGTTATAATGCCAAAACTCTATTTTTTTTAATGGATGAGTGAATTTCGCGCTGATATCCGAGACCTGTTATCTTATATATGATTGGTTAAGTGCAGGTTGACTAACAGTGACCAATAATCAATCAGTTTGTATGCTTGTAAAGATGTTTTTTAGTTATCAAGCCTCTGAATTAATAGTTGATTAGTAGATCAATGATTGCTTAATTATAAAATTGTGAAGCTTCGAGCAAAGCTAATTTAAGGCAGATAACTTATCAGTGATGAATCCACAGCTTAAAGCTAGCATGAATAAAATATCCAATAAGGCATTCTTAACCCCGATGCTATTTGTAAATGAGGAACCTTTGGTTTTTGATAGTTTAATATTTTAATTACATATGGTGGATGATGATAAAACCTATTTAATTATATATCAATTTGTTTGAAAATAAAGTACATGATAGATTATAAATAAATCTAGTTTTAAATAAATAAGGCAGAACTGGAAACATATTTGTCAATTAGGCCTCAAGATTGTATGTTTTGACTTTATTAGAAAATCTACCGTTTTTAAACTAAGATGTTTTAACGGCTAGAAACTTCACTTTATATTTGATTCATTCAAATGGAAATGATAACGAATTTTGCTCGTTTTCCCTGCACAAGCTGAAACAACTTGATTTTTTACTAACTATCAATTACTTTAAACGATACAATATTTTTACTTGAAGAAATTAAAATGAATCATATTTAAATTGTAACTACAACATTAAATTTGTTGAGTTTTTCTTAAAAAAGAAAACAGAAAAAACAAACCTGTACTTTTAAACTTTCTTTATTCATTGTACTAATATTTTCATATTCTTTTTTCGTTTGCAATATTTTAGTGACTAAACCACCTAGAAAAGTTGAATATTAACGTAAAAAGAATGAATCTCATTTACACTTTTCATTTATCAAGACGTGATCACTGTGAAACCTATATAAACATTTTGGATATTAAATTAACTATCTAAAGAAAGATTGAAGCCCTTTATGTGAGTGATTTTAGGTTTAATCGAGTGATACTACTGAGTATGGGTTGTTATTCGATAAAGTAAAAAAACACTGTAATCACAATTGGTTGATCTTTGGGTGCTATCGACCAAGTTGCAATGTAGCACTCGATTGGCACTAAGAAGGACTTGACATACATGACATTGATCACCACCAAGTGATCAGTCAATTGTGATTACATCTCAGTCCCACAGGAGGTCGGTCGCGACCCGGATAGATCAGTGGTAACGTCTTCAGCAGTGAAGCTGGGTGACACGGGATCGAATCCGTCGGGGAGTACCAGTTCCCTCAAGATTACAGGTACACCTTGCTGACGAGTGCCAAGTAGCACGAAACCCGTGTCCAGAGTTTCCTGCTGACTACCTCCAACCATCATCATAAAAAAGAATGTATCTTACTTTCTTACAACGAGGGTTATCTGTAACAACTTAAAATAGACAAAAATAAAAGAACAGTTAGATATGAATTTATATCTAATCGGATAGCCTATTTTAGTCATATATTCAGGAGGGAAAACTGAATATCTATTAGACTTTGTTTAAAACACTTTTGATAACAGTTAAGCTGAGATATCATTTAAGCAGTAATTTACTTTGATTTTGATAATAAATTCAAATTGCCCACAGAATTATAAACTTTACTCCAGTGTATACATGAAGTTTCAACACAAATAGTAAATAAACGAAGTCATAAGGAAATGAAAAGAGCAATTATCAGTATGTATGACAATTAAATGAAACTACCTGAAAGGTAGTTTTCATGAAGAGAATTTTTAAAATCAGTTTTTCTAATTTGATTCTTTACAGAAGAATAAATATGTAATTTTCAAAGTTCTTCCATTAATTATTGATGTTAATTTTGAAATTGTTATATGCTATTCAACTAGTATATGATTCAACTGAGCAAATCAACAGACAGCAAAGCTTACAACTTTAATTTATAATACCCAAAAATGTTGTCAATCACAGCCATTATCAAGTGAAGAAATCAATGGGTACTAGAAAACTTTTCTGTGGTTAAAAATAATTTTGCGGCTACTTTTTAAATTTATATTTATGTCATAATAAATAAACTTACCATGTTCATGATTATCTTCTAGCTCAGTTTTATCCCACTGTTTTGTTAAAATATCTGCTGATATATTACCAGGAGTTTCTACGCTAACAAATTTCTTGTCATCATTATTATCATCGTGTTCTTCATCAGTTGTATCATGTTGTGAATCAGAAATAATCAGTCCAGATATACATGTCATATTCACTTGGCTAATTAATAAAAAATGATAATAATAGTTTATTTATATTACTTTTAAAAACCTTATTCAAATATAGTTTTTCTTTGATCTAATTGTATGCATTAAGATTTATGGTTTGAATAGTGTTATTTTAACTATGCTGTTAAAAAGCTTTGTAATGAATTAAAAAATTTTAGACGGCTACTACAATAGGAATAAATAATCGAGTTGATAATAGGAATCATAACAAAAAACTAGGCATAAAATGCATTCTCAGAAGAATGTATAAAAACTAGAAAAAAAGTGATTATTTTGAGATGAAAAATTTAGAGAAGGATAGAGAACGAATACGTCTACACTACAATCATTGATTTCGATACTTGTTATTTAAGGAACCGAGTAGTATTATTAAAAAAATCAAATCTAGGAGTAGTACATTCTCTTTATCATGTAATTAAGCTTTTTAATTAATTTCTTCGTTATTAAAGATCAGATTCTAACTATTAAAGCGGAAAAGATAAACATGAATAGAATTTGTATCAGTTATGGGAACGAATTACCGATTCCATATACATAAATGATACAAAGATTAAATCAGCAGTAAATTTGTAGTAGACCATAGGTAAATTGTTTTGAGGAAAACAAATAGTGTCGAGTGCTGAAAAGCAGTCGGAGAACGGTGTTTGAATTTCTTCGATATCACTTAGCGTTCATCAGTAATGTGTGTATATTAGTAATCTTACTGAAATTAATATTTTGAAAGGAATTTCAACCTAAGGTATACTAGGTTACAAATTAATTTAAACTATGATAACATGGAAATAATCGTATACTACAAAAACTTCATTGGAGTAGGCACAAATTCAGTTTGTGATAAATGAGCCTTGAAATAAAAGAAATATACATTAAAAATGCGCAACATAATTAGTGACCGAGATAGTTTAATAAACCTTACCAATCTAATATTTTTTCTGTGACAAAAATATTTTCAAAATGAGTATAGAAAATCAGATTCGTATGTAACTGACGAAACGAAAAAATGTAGACTTAAAAAAATTGAACGAAGACAATGTTGTTTTAAAAAAATATCATTTAAAATCATTAACTATGGAGAAATAAGCCTATGGGGTTACGGGAATTAGACAGCTGAATATATTGAAATAAAAAATCATTCAAAAGCAAGTAAACTCTATTTCATAAACGAATTAATTGGTTTTTGCGGCAAGATGATAATTTATGGACGAGCATTGAGCGATAGTATAGCGTTCTTTGGAAACTTCAACCATTTATCACAGTTTAAAAAAAGTTATAAATTACTGTGAGGAATCAAAACTTGAAGTTAGAGTTATGAGCTAGGATTATGATGCAGAATTAAGGTTTTCATTATAAGATATCAGCAATAATGAAAAAATGTAACTTAGCCATGTGAATGAACGGATTCCGCACCAAAATCCAAAATCTTAGAGCTAATTGCATCGTCCATAAATTATAGTTCTGTAATTCATTGTTCATCAAAAATTTCAACTGCGCAGTTATCTTCTTTTAGGTTTGATGTTGAAACAGAAAGTTTGCAAATCTTTTAAAGTAATTCAAGTTCAACTACCTAGAAAACTCGGACGATTTAAACACAATCCAATACTGAATATCTCATTTATAGGACCGAGTGCTTACTTGTGATTATCTTCAATTACAAAATCTCCAGAGCGTCTTGGGCGAGGCAGTGCCAATCTTGAGCTATCAAAAGGCAATTTATGTAAAGAAAATTTGATAAACAATGTGTTGAACTTTGTATTTTTTTTATCATAAACTAGATATGCAAAATCAAAATTAAACTCTGAAGGCGATCTAGTCACAAGTATTCCTGGTAAATCATTTGAGGAACCAATTAAGAAATCATTTTATACTTAAAATTTCGGAGCTGTTTTATTATGTCCTCAGCTTATAAAGCAATCCTAAAAGTGCAAGCTTATGCATTGCATTATTTTAATGTGTCATTTAATGTTTACTTCCTGCTCTAAACTTCACTTTGTAAATGAATGATTAAGAGTTTGAAATAATTTCCGAAAACATATAGATGTGCTAACAAAGTACTCGCAGTTTAGGGCTCTAAACTGTAAAATCACTTTGCTTGTTAACCGTAAAACTGGGAAATATAATACAAAGCTTCACTTGAACGTCTAGTTCCCTTTCAAACTCATATATTAAGTGGCTTTGATCCATTTTTTGTTTTCATTTGCTTATTTTATACTGTCTGTCGTTTAAATTGCCTTTACTTGATTTGTGTTTATTATCATAATGGCTATGACTTATGAAAAGGAATTCTCCTGAGAGTTTCTACTCTTTGTATATTATGTTTACTGACGAACAACTACACAAATACTTTTTTAAAGACTTATTGCTAAGGTTGAGCTTTATAATTTTAAATAATTCAGGGGATTGGGTTGGGTGTTAATAATAAATAATATATTTTATTATTAGAAATATATTTAAAACAATTGTAGTCTTTGTTGAAACTGAACTTTTTACGGACATTAATTTATTGGAGTTTAAAATACTTAAAAAGAAGTCGTTTCATTGAATTAATGTCTACCCAGAGAGGGGTTTGTGGGTAATTTAATAGTCGAATTCATGAGTTAGTTGAAGCTAGACCACCAGGGAAAACCTGGAAGCACTGGTTAAAATCATCATTTGCTCACCAAAAGGTATTTCCTGGAGTTCTAGTGAAAAGCAGTGACCAGTGGGGTTCAACCGGGTCTATTGTGATATAGTAACTCACTGAATACGATGGTGGATGGCGGCGAAACTTTGTGGATTGGTTGAAGTTAGACATTAACATCGTTGGATGCCGATTAAGTGGTTTAGAGGTTAAGCGTTCGCGCGCGATATCAATAGGTCCGGGATGCGAATCCAGCGGGGCAGGTTTGTGGATGCGCACTACTGAGGAGTCTCATAGTCGGACAAACGGTCGTCCAGTGCCTCCAGCTTTTCCATTGTGGTCTAGATTCAATTGGCTCATGAATTCAACTACTGAAATTAACATCTTCTATTAATAAAAAGTGATTTGAAAATTTTTTCACTTCGTGTAACAGTTGATAGAAAACGTATTGAAAGCATAGCATTCTTCAGCAAACAAACCATCTCAATAGAGACAATTTTGAACATTATATTGAATATTATGTCATTTGACAATTAAAGTCTGAAATTTTAGGATACATCAATGACTACAGCATTTAAAATTCATTTTAGATTCTTTTTTAGTTTAATATTACTAAATAAGTGTTAAATATTCACTTCTGAATAATGTTGGTAGTTGGGTATCAATTATCTGAATGAAATTTTATTGTTAAGAAGAGTACACCATTTCAAATTATCTAAAATGTAGTTCATCTCTAATTTTTTCAGACAAATTCAACTTAAAAACTTAAATTACTCAGCTTATAATATACTGAATAGTACAAAGTCTCTTTACCATAAACTCGTATTGTTTTTAACATATAAGTAAAGTATTTAAGTTGATCGACTGTCTTGACGGTATCAAACAATTCAATTATTGATGCTATATGCAGTATAACATATTTTTTGATGATAATAATATTAATAATAATAAACTGACTTCTAACACCAACCAACTGTTTAGAGTTTTATTTCTTTCATTCGTTGTCTAAGATCGGTTGTTTATGTAAGTTATGAAATTCAACAGTCTAAATAAATCGTTTACTTGATGGACTGTTTCTCAATTATTGAAATGATGATTCGAAGTTAATTATATATTTCATATGTGAAAAGATATTGATTAGACATTTAGAAACTTCTTCATGATGAATATTTTCAAAATGATGTTCAGTCATTAGCAAGAACATCCAGATCATTTCAATGATAAACTATCTGCTCAATCTGTAGTTCAGTCAAATACAGATGACTAACTTATAGTTTTATCGAGACAATTTAGTTAAAAGGTATAAAATCGATGTTTTTTAAAACCTTTAAAATAGTTTATCTTACTTTTCAGTTGGTTCACGTTTACTATCCTGTTGATCGGTTGATATCTTCACATCTGATCAAATTAAACAATAATTACCGGATAAGCATTGTTTCGGATATAGATATTTCCGCAAAACCTATACAAATAATTATCAATAATTTATATCCAAGTGCTCAAGTTTTCTGAAGGCTATTATTCATAGGATTCACGGTCGATTCAATCAACACATTCTCAGTTCAGACACATTAATCACTTTGGTAATTCGCTAAATCAGTTGATATCTTATAGCGTTGGTCAGCTTTTTAATTATTTATCACTGTATATAGCTCATTATAAAGCTTCGATTAAATTGTCTTTAAACTAGGCGTTATTGTCTAAAATCATTTATTATGCCTTTGAATTGGTATATTCTATTCAAAAACAATCCTCTTTATCCACTTACAACCTATTTAAGACTATTTGTTGGTTTAAATATCAATTGACAGTTTACAAAAATAAGTAAAACGATTTTGGATCTTAAAAAAATCAATTGATTCCCTATAATTCGTCTTTTTTAGGCATGGATTTAGTAGAAAAGAAAAGATGAGCATCGGGTCTATTCTGAAAGATTTCTGCACCATATTAATTCGTTTTTATAACTAGTAAAATTGGACTGATGAACAGCCCTATTCGAACTAATTAACTGACTAGAATACAACTGAAACTAGCCAAATACCTAATACTTACATTTAACCTGTTAGATACTGGAATATATCATCACATTGTCCAAGAGTAATTGATTCTAGGGAAGTAATTATTATTATTTATAATAGCAAAGGTTAGGAAACTGTTAACGAGAACGACGCATTTAAGCGAACAATATCGTTTTCAATCGGATCTTCATATTTCAGTGTAATTTACGGGATTACCCATACTCATATGTGAAAATTATTAAACCAATGACTGCAAGTTAAGTTGATAATGGAATAGATTGTACAGTTAAATATGGCAAGTAATAAAGTACAATGCACATCAACATGATAAGTGTACCGGTAGTAATACCACTATTGATAAAAACATGATTTAAAACAAAATTGTTCGCCTATATTAGTTCGAATATTATCTGTAAACGTTTAGGATTAATTGCGATGATCCAGAAATTCAGGTTAATTAGTCATCAAGAGATCGTGATTAAAATACGTAGAAACAAACTGATATCAAACAGCTACCATCATTTTTCACCCTCTGTCCTTTGGCGGATGCAGGCCTGTGATGTCGAGGTTGGAAGACTGATGTTTCAGAATTTTGGAGGGTTGGGGCGACAGTTTCTTCTTGTGATTTTTCCGGCGTTTGCAAACCACATTGTTTACCAGCACGACTTCCAGAATCTTGAAACAGATTACTTTCCCTCGCGCTACCGCATTTTTCTATATTAACTGGGTCTGTTGAGTCCTAAAACAAACAAAAATGCTTTCATGAGCGAATAAAACGTAGAAATCACTTCAATCAATTTAATATATTTTTCAGAGTGATCATCTCAGTTTAATTCTACCTTAAAAAGTTTTGTGAAAAAATATCTTGCCTGAGTAGATCCTTTTTGTTATTAAATCATGACTGTCTCTTATTGATTAATGTTGACTCCCATTTGAAATAGTTCCTAGTTAATTTTATATATTTCCTTGGCTATGCTTACTGTGTATTCGAAATTTAAACGAAAACGCAATATAAAGTAGTCTAATACGAAGCGTGTTGGGAATAGATATATTTTACACATGTTAATCACAAGATCGAGATAGAAGAGAACAGACTGAATTGTATGTGATGTCAATTTACTTTGGAATCCATCATAACTACGTGGAGATTGATATGTTAGTCAATCACTGAATCAATTGTTGAGTAAGTGTAGGCAACCCAGAATTTCAGTGCACGAATAAGATCATGAAGACACATGAAAAGTTGCATGTATGCGAAAATGCCTACATAGATAAAAGCTCAGAACTTATCATATACATAAGTGAAAAGTAATTAATGGGATTATAATGACCATTTGATTGTCACATGAGTGCACTGGTTTATACTTTCAGAAACTAACCTAGGTTTGAATAGGTGTGTGGACTCCATATTCCAAAAGAACGATACAAAGAGTCCTTAGTTTATCTGCATAATTGCAGTTATCAATCCAAATCCGTTTTAGGTTTGCTGAATAAAGCTAATCCGTTTTATTTCTGCTAATTATAGAGGTAAGAGAGACGTTTTAGTTCTGAAACAGAAGCAATAGGATACAGATGACTGAAGGCAACAGCGTATCAAGAAGTGGTCGTTTGTAACGGTAAAAAATAGCAGGAGATGCTTTGCAATCCTTATGATGTAACTAGGTTAATTTTTTCTCAAACCCACTCAGTTATATATTAATAATCGTTTACATGCAAAATATAAGAATCGCATCAAAACAGAAGTCAATTTAAAGTAGCCTACAATGTGAAATATTGTGTGAATTTCCCATATTATTTTAGTGGCTAGCGTGCTATTAGGATGCTACTTTAAGTCCATTGAAATGTTTAAAAAGCTAGTGTTCCCACACAAATACATAAGCATACTTGTCTTATTAAATTATACCCAGTTTTAAACGCCAGAAATTTTATAAATAATATATTAAATCTTCGAAATCTTAACTCTGTCTGAACAATCCCACCAACGGGGGGAATACATTTAGACAAGGTCGTTCGTCCGACATCCCGTTTTAATGTAAACAAACTGATTTTGAGTGTCAGAATTGCAAACTCCTTTTCATGTCGGGAAACTTTATTCAGTTTTGACATGAAACTCTTTTAATGCAACTGAATTAAGCAGAAAACCCTTGACAAGGAGACTTCTACACATTTTTTATACTTTGTAATCTGAGGAATTCTAATTTGACCATAAGTTGATGATTGTATAAAAATAACAGTTGCTCTAAACAAATGATATTATAACTTCAAATCATTTTTTCAATCTCCATAATAATAATCTATTTGGCAAACTTTTTATAGAAAACTCGAGGAAGGTTTAACTCTAAATGAATTTGTTGAATGACCTGACAGTTTACTTGACTCCACGCACTTGTTTTAAATTAATATACTATTGCATCAATACGAGATCTCAGTCAGTACATATAAACTGGTAACTGGTTGAACTGCAAGAAAGGTATACATTGTGTTTGCAATGTCTGTTGTAATTGTTATCAAGTATACTGAAGTAGTAGTCTGGCTTTTCCTTACGATATAGATGACATAAATATGAGAGGCTCTAAAATTATTCGTTCAGCTTTCATTTGTGTTTCAAAACAAGCAGCATAACAGAAGATAACATCGTGCTTTTGTATGGACCGAAAAATACCTATAAAAATGTGTGCTGAAGCGACTTTAAAATGGTCCTCTTTGATGTTATAGCATAGTTTGATGTTAATCAAATAACATAACATATAACCGCTAACAAGAAACCAAAGCAAAATAAACAAAATTATACATTCACTCTTGTAATTGCTTTATTTTTAGAACGTTTGAGGCATTCAGCAGTAAACAAAATGCTGGAAAAATGATGTTTGAGATAACTATTGAAATGTAACAGTTATTCAACAAAACTGATATTTCTTTACAATAAACCACTAAATAATGTTTACGAATCTATAAATATCATAACCGATAAATTTAATCTAATTTAAAGACATAAATTAGATCAAGTGAGATAAATTTCAAGAAATTTTGGCTGTGTATAACTTCTGGGGTGTATTTATGTGAAGTTGAAACTTTATTTTGTACGGTAAAGGCGTTTGGTTAACTTTTGCGATATGGTTGCGACTGAAAAGTACTATTGTCTCAAATTGACAATTAACGACATCTGATCTACAGGGCTCATCACTACTAGTCTGGCCACATCACAGAATAAAATGGTAATATTCAAGTTGTAAAGAGACCGTGTGGTGTCAATTTCTCCTACAAATTGATGAAACATCAACCTCCTTCAGGGTATATTTATGGTTATAGATTGGTGTTATGGCAGAGGAATATCACTCGCTTGGTGTCAAAAAAGTTTTGGTTTCCTTTACAGCGAAGGAATTGATAATTTTGACCCTGGACACAGTATTGCCGCAGATTAAATAAAGACTTTAGTATGACTTACAGAAAACTAAGAAAATAGTTTGGGTTGAATACATCCGTCTTTCTTTACACTAGCAGGCAAAATTAAGAACCGTAGAAATATATAAGTAGTAAACAGGTTTTCTGACAGAAAGTAAACTGTTCGAACCAAGTAATGAATAAAATTTCACCTTTATTCAAGAGTGGAAACTTACATAAAAATACGAGTGGAATATTAGCACATACCTCAAACCTGTTTTAAAAGCAAGAGTATAAGTCTGAATATTGTTCAGTATGCTTTAAAATAACGTACTTTGAACGTCTTTGTGCCACATAAACTACGGTTTAAAACGTGAGTATAAAATAACAGCACTAAAAATTGGGAGGTATTTGGTGATTTCAGGTTGATTGATGCATACAGAAAATAAATTAGACAATTTAAGACATTTCATCAACTAGAGCACCCCTAATAATTCACTTAAAACGAGCGAACTGTATGCCTTTATTATTATCAACGAAAAGTTTGTTTTCAATTTCATTTACTTTTTCCATATTTAACTTGTATTTCCGGCGACTTTGAGTCAACTTCGTTCGATGATCCACGATATTTGACTCTGAACTGGGCTTCTTTTTTGAAAGCTTAATTTCTGATACTTGCTTTTTAACAGTACTTGTTTTACCATCATCGACTTTACGTCCTTGGAGAACTCGTGCAACATATTCTTCGTTATTGATCTAAACGATCATAAGTTATCCGATCAAACCTTTTTATTGACAGCTTCAGCTAGTAGAAACAGCATCTCATTCGTTTTCTCAGCCTCCTTACCAGCAACAATGCTCATTATTCTAACAGGAATAGTTCGTTCATGCACTACGGTCAAAAAATCTACCAACTTTTGAAGAAACGCCAACTTTTTGTCTTTGTCTTTGACATTATCAGCTTCCAACTCTTCTGAGTTAAATAAACCTTTCATTAATCCTGTCGACCTAATAACCTCAAATAATTATTCAATACAATTCCAGTTGTTTACTCACTGACGTACATATATCGTGAAGAAATCTAAATGGAGGTCTCGACAAAAGTTTTTCAGTAAGAACCGGCTTTTTGATTAATTTTCCAAGGGTTTCTTGAGTTCGTTTGATAATTTTTACATCTACCTCACACATATTGCGAGTAATTTGAATAGAAGAATAGCAACAAATTACATCATTCAAAAATACAAACAATGTTCAAATGGTTCAAATGGTTGCGGACGGAATAGAAGAAGCTTTCGCTTAACAGGCTTCCGTGTCTAGTAGCAGTGGATCACCAATACCTCCAGGCAAGAACCTAGGTATATTAACGATAAAAGAGAAAGAAAATGAATTGGTAAATCATAGTAGGATACTATCCTTAGTCCTTAAGAATAGATCAAGTCGCCTCTTAAAGGACTCCTGGGAAGTTGCTTGGACTAGCTCAGCTGACAGCGAGTTCCAGCATTTGACAACTCTTAAGGAGTAGAAATTGTGTCTGCAGTCCGTTCTACTATGTTGTATCTCCAGTTTTTGGGTGTTACCCCTTAGGTTAGTGTTGGGACTAAGCTTAAGTAGGTGTTTAAGAGGGTGTCCAGGTGTGTTAAGGATACTGTAAGCCATTAGAAGGTCACCTCTAAGACAGATATACTCTAATGGGCAAAGGTCGAGTGATTGGAGGCGCTCTTCGTAATTTTTAAATTTGAGTCCCCGAACTGATTTCGTGGCTCGCCGTTGGATACTCTCCGGAGTGTCCTTATCCTTTCGGAGTGTAGGAGGGAATACTATGTTCCCGTACTCTAAATGGGGACGAATGAAACTATTGAAGATTATGTGGAAAGTTCTCCCGTCAAACTGACCAAAAATGAGCTTCAATGTTACCAGTGCAAGGTTTGCTCTAAAGGCCTTTCTGTCACAGTTGGCGTAAGACTTTAAGTCGTAGGGTACCAGGACTCCTAAATCTTTTTCGACTCGAGATACTACTAGAGAGGAGTTTCCTAAGTTGTAACTGTAATTTGCGACGTGTCGCAGATGGACTACTTTACACTTTGAAGTGTTAAAGGTAAGTCCGTTGTTGTCTGCCCAACTTTGAAGTCGAGTCAGATCCTCCTGAAGTGCCTGTATGTCCTCTCGGTTGCGTATCTCTCTCCAAAGTTTCACGTCATCGGCAAAGAGCAGTATGTCTGACGTTACCTGTTGAGGAAGATCATTTATATAAATCAGGAAGAGGAGAGGTCCTAGTACTGAGCCCTGGGGGACCCCACTAGAACATTCCATAGAGCGTGAGAAATTGAAGTTTACCCTGACCTTAAAATGTCGATTTGTGAGGTATGAACTGAGCCAGTCAATTAAAGGTGGTTTGATTCCCAATTGTTTGAGCTTGTTAATAAGACATGTGTGGTTAACCCTATCGAAAGCTTTAGAGAAATCAAAGTAAATGATGTCTACCTTCCCCATGCGATCAACGATGCTTGTCCATCTGTCCACCGCGGTCAGCAGGTTCGTCATACTGGAGTAACCCTTCCTGAAACCATGCTGTTAGGGTGAGAAGAAATTTAAGGATAGCAGATAGTCGTGTATGCCATCGTATACCAGGGACTCCATGATCTTTGAAGGTATAGAGAGAAGGGCCACCGGTCGGTAACTTGAAGGTTCACTGCGTCGACCTCCTTTGGAGATTGTTGTGCTATGAGCCAGCTTCCAAATATCCGGTAGTTTGCCTCGACTTAGCCAGTGTGAGAACAGCAAGCTAAGCGGTGTTGCCAGGATTGAAGCTGCTTCCCTAAGTATAGCAGAGTGGACCATATCTGGACCAGGAGAAGTGTCTGTTCTTAGGTGTTGTAGTTTACGGTACACCAAGTCAGCACTCAGTTTCACTACGGAAAGTCCTGTGCAGTTGCAGACAGAGCCGACATCAGTATAGTTGATGTGGGTCGGCTGAAATGTCCGGGAGTAGTGCTCAGCCAGAAGGTTAGCGGCGTCACCGTCATTATCTGTCGGGCCGTTAGGACCTAGCAGTTGAGAAACTCCAGTTTTGGCTTGACGAAGAGAGGCTGCATAACGGAATAAGCTTTTCGGATTGGAAATAAATTTATCCATAAGCTTTAACTGGTACTGAAGCCTGTCTTCTCTTATAGCCTTCGTACATATGTTCCTTATATGTTTGTATTGCCTGTACTCGCCGTTGTTGTTGGTTCGTTTGTATTCTGCCCAACAGTGCCTTTTACGGCTTAGCAAACGAAGAGTGCGTTTTTTGATGATTGTAGGTTGCTTGTGCCTTTTGGGGACCGTTTGAGGAACTGACTGCTTAGTAGCACATGAGAGCGTGCGCAGTAAGGAGTCCCAATGAGCATCCACATCAAGTTGAGGGTGAACATCCCAATCCACCTGTTGTAGATAATCCTGTAGAGCTGACGTATTCAACCGTTTGAAGTTCCAGTGCCTGTTGTTGTCGGGATATCTTAGCTCTGTTTTGCTGACGAAACTGAAGGCTATAACGGCGTGATCGCTCTTCCCCAGGGGAGCCAGAATTGAGAGGTTGTCGACTAGAAATTCTTCATTTGTAAAAACACAGTCTAAGCGCGACGGTGTCTGACCGTTCCTCCAACGAGTGTGCGAGTTCACATTTTCGTGTAGTCCCAAGTCCTCAATGAGGTTGGAGAACCGAGCTTCGATTGAATTTTCACCTCCAGTATACGTATGTTCCGCGAAGTTGACTCTAGGAAGATTGAAGTCCCCTAGGATCAGGATATGAGTGAAGCCGAGACGTGTAGAGCGGGATAGTCCTTCTAGCATGCGACTGTCATACTCGATGTCGGCAGTGGGCTTCCTATATATGACTCCGACTAGGCACCTCGAAGTAGTGGACAATCTCATAGAGCACCACATGGATTCCTCAAGATTGTCAAACTCGTGGTTGTGGATTTGATGTACCACCAGGCCAGATCTTATGTATAGAGCTACTCCACCTCCAATTCCTGTTTTTCTGTCATTGCGAAACAGAGACATCCCAGGTATTGCTAGCTCCTGGTCCGAATACTGAGGAGATATCCAAGTTTCAGATATTCCTATCAGATGAACTTTATTAGCGTTGCTAAGTTCACTTAGTTCATCCATTTTATTTGGTAGACTCGCAGCGTTCATGTATAAGCAGTTAATGCTTTCAATTTGAAACGCGTGAGCTTCTTCCTGTTTATCTGTGAGAGCCTTGCGTGAGTGGACAGGTAACCCACCTATATAAGTTTTGTCAAATTGGTAGGCCCTGTCCTTTACACGTTTATTTTTGTCTTGAAGACAGTCCACAAGTGGAACGGTTAGTTCCAGCTTGCCTTTGTGCTTGATCCTGGCGTCGTATGGCCTATCCGGGTGCATATGGATCCCAGTTGGCAACCGACGTCTGTTGACACGAAATGCTTCCAGAGTTGCAGCCGCCATATGGGAGGATGGAAAAGTTATCCTCAATAGTCGGGGTCTAGGATCCCCATCCTTCTTGGCTAGTCTCATCACATGCTGTGACAGTATGTTTTTAAGCCTCAAGGACTGTTTGATGAATTTCCATTCCCGAATGTCAGAGTTTGCTTGACCAGGGTCCGTGTTTTCCGTACACCTTGCACGATGATATTTCTTCCGCGGAAAAACTTCTCTCGAGAATCTTTAGGGACGTTTCGGATGAGATTGCGCTCAGAATATGGTATGTCAGGCAGTATTCTGACGTTCCCATCGGATTTCAGTAGATGACTGGCCAGCAGGACATCCTCTACTTCGGTAGCATTCTTGAGTGTTACACGGAGTAGTCTCGGGTGATTTTGATGTTTAGAATCCTTTCCCCGAGTGAGCCGTGTGACCGTCAAAGGCTCTATTCTAGGGAGTTCGAGCTTTTTGTTCAGTTCACCCCAAAGCATCCTGTCATTTTTGTCCTGCAAACTGAGAGGAAGGTCAGGATTGTCTATGAGGTTCATGATTATGAGGGAGTCATCACGGACCGTTGTTGTTTTCCCAGCTCTTCCAGTGCGTTCAGGTTCAGTACGTTGTTGTTTGGAGGTCAAAGCAGGTTTTTGAATCGTAGGCTTTTTAATAACCGGGCGGACATTTTTGGGGGTAGACTGAGCGATCAAAGCACCAGTTGATGTCCGTACCACACTTGGGATGTCAACCTTGGACGGTGACACCTGGTCCTTATTAGCTCTGTTGGCGTGGTTACAGTCACCTGCAGAGTTTTTAGGAACCACTGTTGCGTTTGAGGAACCTGAACTGGGAGATCCAATTTTAGTGAGGGAATCAATTATTGTCGACGTAATGATGGTGCTGAGTTTCAACATGTCATCATTAGTGCTAATGCGCGTTCCATCGATGGTTGACTTGTCAACATCCCTGTTCTTATTTTCGTTACGCGCCCTCGTTTGCCTACCTATTTTATGGCTATCTGTTTCCAAGTTTACTGACAATTTATTCCGCAGACCTGTCAGTAGAACAATGATATTGCTCAGCAGCACTACAGCGTCCGTGTTGCACGTAACGCACACCCACTTACGGTCCGATTTGCTGAGTCTCTTGTAAGCCGTTGCCGTAAGATCTGTGCACGTTTCGTGAAACCAACCTTTGCAGTTGTCACGCTGCATGCCAGATGTAACAGCGAAACGGCATCCAGGTCTTTTACATGAATTTTTCATGGCTGTATTTACGTAACCTGTGCTAGAGATAGTATCAGAGCTTAAGACCGTTAAAAATACACTAAAAACCACACTAAAACGGGAAAAATGTATAAAAACGGATGAGATAAAATGAAATAGCCTTTACGTGAAAAACTGAAAATAAACCGAATAGTAAGCTGAGGCAAAACCGCAGTTAACTATTAAATTGGGTGAAACTCAAAAAAAAAGTAATCTACCGAACTTGTAGCTCAGAATAGATTGTTTAGATCAGAAATGGTACTTTTGTTGCGTAAGAACACAGCAAAAGTTTGAGAAATGCAAACCACGTTAGGACTAAACTTCCCGTTCGAAATTATAAGCTATGAAACAATGTTCAAATGGTTCAAATGGTTGTGGACCGAATAGAAGCTTTCGCTTAACAGGCTTCCGTTTCTAGTAGCAGGGGATCACCTAAACCCCCAGGCAGGAACCTAGGTATATTAATGATAAAAGAGAAGAAAAGAAATCGGTAAATCATAGTAAGATACTATCCTTAGTCCTTAAG